TTTAGCATCCGTTGCACTTCCTCTGCAATCGCACATCTCTCAGTGGCTGACACATGGTATGGCCTTTGCTTGATTGGTATGCTGTCACATGTATTGATTTGTGCTTCATCACATAGCATTGGAATTTCCTCGCAATACTGTTAAAGTTGAATATGTCACTAAATTCTTCTAGTAGACTCAACAGTTCGTGTTCCTCAGCATTGGTCTGATCAGTATCGAAAGTTTCTTTTAAATGTGAACTGTTTCTCAAGGTAACCTTTTTCTGGACTTTAGTCCCTAAGAACCTTCTTGAGCCTGACTACTTAGGGAGCAAGTAGTGTCATTTACTATAGTCATTAAACAGCCTAAGTTCATCCCTTTTGATATCAGTTGGGTTGTTCAAGAACAATTAGTTGCCCATAATTTGCCACAACTATCCTCTATAGTGGCAACTGAAGCTGGTATTGATAGCTCTCTTTCACACATCAGAAATCTATTCCCAACAATCATAGCTCCATCTGCTTCTCATACTTCTGGATTAAGGCCACATATTTGTCTTGTGGAGTTTGCTTCAATTAAATAATCTGTTGTGGAAAACAAGGAGCACTCTGATTTATTTAAACATTCATTGTCCGTAAGGATTTCTGCAAGCTTGAAGTTCTTGATTTCCACAATCGATAACACCATCAATAAACACACATCCATCCATCTATGTATCATTTGATGGCTACATTGTGAAAGCACAAGAAATTCAAACAGCCTCACAGTCCCATTCAAATCAGTTTTTAATACACAGTGTGCCAGTGTGGCTACTGCAGGCAGTTTTCAGTATAAATCAATTTTCAGTAAACATAGGAACATTCAATTGTCACTATAATTCTTCGGATGTGATGGAATAATTGGCACCCGAATCAACAAGGGCTTTTACACACTGTCTGTTCACAGTGATAAAGGTGACATTCATTTTTAACTTGGCTGTGGTGTACATCTGGGGATTTTTTTCAGTTGCAGCCTCACCTCCTGCAGAGGTTGCTCTCTATTTGATGGCAATGTTTCACTCAGGCATTGATGCTGTCATAATTCTGAGACGACAGGACCTGGTACAAGTCCTCGGCAATGCCTTTCTTGAGATGGGCCTCTTACCTCTTAGTCCATGGAGAGATTTGTTTTTTGGCATAGAGCAAGAACATCTTGAATGTAAGCTTCAGACTATAAGGCATTTCTTCCACTTTCCTAGCGTGCCTTTGTAGTGTAGTGGTTCTGTACATTGGGCCGGTATTCCAGAGGTCCGTGATTCGATTCGCGGCGAAGGCGGTTGCTGTTTTTCATCTTTCCTGCTTCCAAAAATATACCTAATGTCTCTACAGTGGCGCCTGAACTAAAAGGGTGTTGGATGAGGTTTCTCCACACCCAAGATTTGGCAATTGGGTCCCCTGAAAACCCCAGTCACCCTTTAAAAAGGGGAGTATATAAGTTATTTCTCCCACTTTCGTAGCGTGCCTTCGTGCTGTAATGGTTCTGCACGCTGAGCCGGTATTCCAGAGGTCCATGGTTCGATTCCGGCGAAGGCAGTTGCTGTTTTTCATCTTTCCTGCTTCCAAAAATATACCTAATGTCTCTACAAGATGTCTCATCGATTTGCTGCACCCGTGTAAGTAGTAGTCTTTCAGCTTGCTACTTTACATGAGCTGCACAGCAAAATGTGTTTTTGAGAGCATTTATGAACACAATAGTAAGGCGGGATCAGTATTGGTGCAGTATTACTTGGAACGGAGCTAGCTCCTGCTGGGGGGATTTTGCTTGGCTTCCTTCCCATCAGCCATGTTTCTTGATCTTGTACTCAAATCCTGTATGAGACCAAACTCAGAGAAAGTCCTTGAATACGTTAGGCTTTGGTGCAACTCTGTCGCAATAATTGATTTACATGGTGCCTCCGCCAAACTGTCGCATAAATGAAGTGATCATATAGATGAAGAGGCAAGTAACTCGTCTGAATTCAAGACTTTATTGTTCGAACTGAATAAGTATAACCACTTACATACACCTGAGGAATGAGTTGGAACATTTTAGACAAATGTTCTAGAAAATGGAGAAAATTCTCCCATATATGGAACATAAAGGAAAAATTTAACAAAAACCAAATTTTAGGCAACTTGTTTTTGGTGGGTTTCAAACTTGAGACCTTTGGTTTCCAAATCTTATGTCATACCTACTGAGCTATAATGTGCTACCTTTGGTTTCCAAATCTTATGTCATACCTACTGAGCTATAATGTGCTCAGTTGAAAATCCAATTTTCACAACAGCATTTAATAAATGAAAAAAATTCAGAAAAATATAGTTTAGAACTGGTATTTGATTATTACTGGTAAAAGTACATATTTGCTTTTTATTTTTATATATTCATGATTTGTATCATTCCTCCCGACAAGACAAAATTAAGTGTTTATTTCTTAGGCAAAATCTAAAATTTTTCAGTTCCTTTAGATTTCGTAATTTATGTTATATATCTTATTTCACATTCAGGTAGTTTAATAGATAGAGAAAAAAGGGCTTATTCACTTGTCAATTTGGGCACGGTTGTGCTAACAGCCCTTTCCTTATTCCATAATTTTCAACAATATTTTAAATAATTAGGGAAGAAAGAATTTGTTTACGGAACAGGAACTATCTATAATGCAAGCCATAAGTATGCTATATTGTAGTCTTAAATTGCTTAGCTCAATAAAGACGTCATTTTCATAAAACTTTCTAAATATTTTTTTCCCTGTATGCAAAACACAATCCCTCACATTTGGATAATTTCCTAAATCTTTCATTTTTGCCAGAATGAGATCTAATTTTAAATTTATAATTAAAATTAAAAAAATTATATGAAATAACATTTTGTTTCACTGGGGCGTAACCAATTAAAACTTTAAAAGCTTTAGTTTTTAAACTAGTTAAATATATGAATTTCTATAAGAATAAAATATAAGATGCAAAAATTTAGATCTTGGAACCTGCAGAAACTAATACTTAATACCATTTATCAAAGGCAGAAACACAAAAGCCAAAAGCTTATGTATTCTTAATATGCATATAGAAAATGGACAAAATTGCTCATAAAATAAGATCCAAAGTTTATCAATCAGACAGCATACCATGCCAAGCAATTCTATATATACATTAATAGCCATAAAAAGAATATATACAAATATAATATGCAAAAGTAGATGCAAGAGAATTACATTTTATCGTTGCAATGAAAAGTGTAAATGATAGATGGTGATTTCGTGTATGAGAATACTCTAAAAATGATTTGAAAAACGTTTTTTTGGGCGGAAAGGGCTAGCTAGTTGGCAATAGTGTCAACTTTGAAATCTGTTTAGAGCAGACTATTCCTAATGTAGTTATAAGCATTCATTATTATTCCAAGTACACAATATTGAATTACGATATCAGTATCTGTTTTCAGTGCCAGACAATCATAAAACATGATGGACCTAGTAATAGGTGGATAAAGATGCTGTTTGTTGCTTAGGTTCAAATTGGAACATTTACCTAAGAAGAAAAGTAACTTTATGGAACATGAAATTGGCCTTTCAAATAATCTATTGGATATGCATGATCTTCATAAATCTCTGCTTCACTCCTTGATAGATTTAATGGCAGTTTCGTTGAATAAATATAACTGAGGCCATAATTTTATTCTTCTTGATTATAAGTAATCTTGATTTACTTCCATTGATGCAAATTGACCATTTGTTTTACTACTCTTAAATACTGCTGCACCTTTCTTAAATACGCTGTTTTCAAAGTTTTATATTGCGTGGTCTAGTTTGAATGATTTAACTGCTGTACCAGTATCACACAAGTAGTATGCTAATAATGAATTGTAGTCAGTTTCTGATTTTGTAATGTCTCCCATATAATATTAGTATGGAATTTTAAATTGAGTGCTAATGTTACCACCCTTGATGCTGCATATTAAATTCCTCACAAATTCAGTTAGCCTCACAAGTAGCTTGGTTTTAAAAATTGTTTCCTGAATTCAAAGTGATCATCAGAAATCAAGTTAAAATAAGGCTGCAGTGTAACTGGGGTAAGTTTGTTTTATGAATTTTTCTTAAACTGAGAGAAAACTAACGAGTCTGAAATTTTCACATTTATTAATAACTTTTTCTGATTTGGGAAGCAAAACAAATGCTAACATATTTCTAGGATCTTGGGAAGTTATTATTTACCAGGTAGACATTAATGATCCTTAAAGATTTAGCAACTGTGCTATTTAATAAATTGTGAATCATTTATGTAATGCCATAAAACCCAAGAGCATTTCTAGATTAAGTCTAAACATGGAAAATTAGTTAGTATCTTAATAATACTAACTAATTTTCCATGTTTGGTGAATAGAAAGTTAGTATTATGGTACGAGCTGTGATTGAAGAGTCAAACTCACCTTAACTCTCTTAATACGCTGTGGTCAGTTGATGAAGTATTAAATGAAAATTCTCTCTTCAGATGATCAGTGAAAATTATTTCTTTTTGTCATCAGAGTAAACATAATTGTTGCCTATTTGAACTGATGCCTTACATGCTGGTTTACAATTAAATCCGTTCGATAAGACTCCAGAGGGAGCCATCATCTAACTTTAAGCTCTGAAATCTTTTCTTCTCATCTGGCAAACCTGTGGTCTTCCAATTCTTTTATTTAGTTAATAAATCACAGCTCTAAAATCCCTTTGATATAAATCCATATTTGGTCGCTAATTTACTTTAAAACCATGCCATAAAAAGAATTCTGCTACAATTCTCATTCTTTAATAGCTAATATTCATCACAAAGTTGGTATTTTTAATATTTAATATATAATAAAACTTGCGATTTGAACTTTGTATGATTCAAATTTAAAGACATTTATCAATACTTTTTATGCTGATTTATCTAACTATATTTTTAAAGTGTTATGTTATATGAGAATTTCTTATTTAGATATATATTACATGTATAAAAAAATAGGATTTTTTTTTCTTTTAATAGGGATGAAATGACATCCTATTAAAGAATGGTCTTGAAACGGCATCCTATTAAAGTCTTGATTGGTCTTGAAAAATGCTTGGAAAATGAGAAATTTGAGTCTTAGCATTTAAATCTTTCATATTTATTCGTGGATAAAGCTTTGAAGCAAATATCATAAATTATATGTATAATTTTTACATAGCAGTGCATAAGTGCAATATCTGTTAAATGTAATGAATATTCTGTTAAATTTCAAAATTGTATTTTAAGTGAATGAAGAATTTTAGAAATGATTGTAAAATGTAATGAATATATTGTTAAATGTAATATTGTTAAATGTAATGAATATTCTGTTAAATTTCAAAATTGTATTTTAAGTGAATGAAGAATTTTAGAAATGATTGTAAAATATGCATATAATTTATGTATTTCCTTGCTGCAGTATTCAAACTGTGATTAATGATATATGTTTCTCTAGTCCTTTTTATCATATGTATTTTTATATGTTAGAGCAAACATAAAACAATGTGAATCTGAGCATATTTTTTTCATTTTTTAGTTACTGTATAGCCATCCAGAAGCTTGTACTTCTGTGCTGTTGCCCATATCTAACTTTATGGGCACAAATGTTGAATTGCAGCAGCATATTTTACATTTTTAAATAAAATTTTCTGTAAGAAAAGTTTTTCTTTGTTTATTAAGGATGTAACTTCACTACTGAATTTGCATTCCCTTGAAAACAATTTATTGTTTTACCTTAGTTTATTTTATTTTATTATTTATTTATTTATTTTTGGATGATAATTCACTAGCTTCACATCTGGAAAATGAATTTCTTCAACAAGAGATGAATGTCAGAATGATTGTGAGATCAGCAGTAACACCACCTATAATGGAGTCTTTTCCATTAGATTTATGTACTATTAGACACAGAATATTAGATTATGAAATCACAAACTGCTGCTGGTCACTCAGATATTGTCATAAAATTATATTTGATTTTAGAGCGTTTTCTGCAAAATGATATCTTTTGAATAAATCAGATGCATATATCAGGTGCAACATTTAGAATTGCCCATTTTAATTTGACAACATTGTTTGTGTAGGTTTTCAGAGGAGCCACTGACAGTGGTGGTGTTGAGGGGGGTCTTGGATTTAATGAGCAATAAACCATTGTCCATGCAATGGCACATATTTTATATGGAATACTTCGACCTGAGCAGTTGATGATACATGTGCAGCAAAAGTTTCATTGAACATTTGATGGGGATTAGCAAAATGAGTTGACTTTCAAGAAAAATAACCAGTCGGTAGTCTGAGACTGAATACATGTGATGTGCGGTATGGCTTCGATCTCACGGGCTGATTATTGATTAATTCAATGTCGTGAACTACTAAATCGGTTATCCCAGGTTCGTTAGAGAACACTGACATGTATGTATTTAGCAAAGTCTGCAACTGAGCTATCTGTTCAGAACTCAACCTTTCTTCTAGTTTACTCTCCCGAGTTATATCTTCAAAGTCGTACACATTTGGATCAGCAGTGAAGTATGGAATATCAACTTCCGGTTCTAAACCTTTATCATCAACCTCTTGCAATAGTAGATTAATTGTCTCCGGCCGCTGATGGTACGGCTTCAGCATATTAACATGATACATTTGAGACCGCTCTTTTTTTTTCCGGTAATTTCACTACGTAATTAGTCTCTGAGAGTTGACTCTCAATAATACCAGGACCGAACCATTGAACTGATAATCGATTTGCTTTCGAGGGGGCAACGACTAACACACAGTCCCCTTCTTTAAATTGTCTCTTAACTGCTTTCTTATCATACCAGAGTTTACGTTTTCCCTGCAACTCTCCTAACCTTTCAAAAGCTAGATCTTGGCACCTTTTCAGTCTATTTATTAACGAGAGAACATAATCCGTAACAGTGACATTCTCCTCTTGGGGCTCAACCCAGTGTTCATACAATAGTGTTTCTGGGGTCCTTAGGTTCTTACCATGGACTAATTCGGCGGGACTAAATCCCATACTTTCGTGTGTAACCGTACGCAATGCTAGCAGAACAGATGGGAGATGTTTCTCCCACTCCGATCCGGCCTCTAAACACAGCACTCGCAAGAGTCTCTTGATTGTGCGGTGAAGTCTCTCTACGGGGTTCGACTGCGGGTGATAAACAGAGCTGTGAGTCACTTTGATACCAAATTTTGTGAAAAACTCGGTTGTTAGGTTGCTCGTGAAGGAAGTTCCCTGATCACATTGGACCTCTTTGGGATACCCCATTCTGCTAAAAATTTTCATCAACGCGTCCGTTACCGTCACGGAACTGATATCTGCAACGGGGACTGCATCAGGATATTTGGAGGACATACAGATGGCAGTTATGATATATTTATTTCCGTTCGGAGTGACTGGTAGGGGTCCGCAAGCATCGATATTGATTTTAGAAAAAATCTCAGTTATAATGGGTACTAATTTCATAGGTGCCTTTTTCTTTTCTCCGGGTTTTCCCACCTTTTGACACGGGTCACACGTGCGAACATGCTCTTCTATCTCTTTAAAGCAACCTGGCCAATAAAAATACCTTAAAAGTTTATCTTTCGTTTTCGTAACCCCTAAATGTGCTGCAGCCGTTCCTTCATGGCACAAAACCTTTACCTTTTCCCGCAGCTTTTCAGGAATGATTAGCTGCTTTCTTTTATTCCCATGGTGATCTTCGGAAATTCGAAAAAACAAACCGTCTTCTCGGACAAACTCCCGTTTTCCAGCGGTCCTTTGTTCTTGTACCTGCCTTCGGAGATCGCTTAAGGTATTGCACTCGTCTTGAGCCTTGATAAAATCTTCCTTTGTCACTCCTAATAGAGTATTCATCGGCTCGTCATTCGACCGGGGGGGTAAGTGGTTTTCTCCTTCTGCGCATCCCGCGCTGACCCTTCTAACGGGGGAAATTTCACCCTCCTCCTCGTCATTCATTCGCCCCGCGGGGCGCTCAACTTCTTTGTTCTCTGGACCTTGGCTAGGGGAATTTTCTTTCCTGCTGCAAGCTTTCGTTTGACTGCGAGTCATAACAGCATTGATTTTATGGGGCTGCATTTTATTCTGTTCTATCAATCGGGCTGTTCGATTTCCCAGCAGATAATATTCTTGATTCAGGTCGGAGCTAATCACTGCGGCTTTAGTAATGACTTTCCCAAAGTCCTCTCCCTCTAATTCAATTCGAGCCAAGGGTAAACACAAGGAATGTAAATCTAGCGGCTGCTTAACCCACACTGTCTCTCCTAGAAGCATCTGATGTGTTACTTGGTCCCCATCCGATCAGATCGATAGTGGAGCCAGTATCTCGGAGTACAGGCATTTCTCGATTATTTACTCTCGCTATACTCATATAGGGAGCTAGCCATGTATCTGGAGATTCTGAAGTGCCTAGTTTGTTTACAGCTTCAGCGGCCTCTTGTCTTTTTAACCGAGGACACTGAGGTCGGAGATGACTATCTGAATTACATTCATAACATCTAGGTATTCTCCGTTTTCGAAAACACTTGACTTCCATTTCTCCGCAGTTTTTTCTTTCGAAACATTATCATGGCGACGTACTCGATCTGAAAATTCTCCTTTTTTTCCTTTCTTTAATATTTGAATCCTGTTCGGTATTTTTAGTAAAACCTGTTGGTTTTTTTACGGACTTTCGTACTGCTTCATATTCATCTAATTTCTAATTCTTCACTAGTTCGGCAGAAGATATTATACTCGGCCACTCATCCACGAAGTGTTCGCGAATTTCGCTGTTTACTCGACGTTTAATTTGATCCGTCAACATTAAGTCTTTTAGCGCATCGAAATCTCGTACGTCTACTCCGTTTAACCATTCATCTAGATAGTTTTTTAACTCAAAAGCAAAGTCTTTATATAAACTACCCGCACGACGCTGGTGTTGAACAAATTTGACGCGGAACGCCTCTGGGTTCAACTTAAACCGCTGCAAAAGAATTTTCTTTACGTAGGAGTAATTATCTAGCTCCTGTTCCGGCTCTCGTAGAATAATAGAAACAATGTCCATTGGCAATAGAGCCATCAAATGTGACACCCAGTCTCCTTCCTCTACCTTCGCTTTGCGAGCCTGACGCTCAAACATCGCTAAGTAAAGCGAAATATCCGATGATTCGGGATTATATCTCTGCATTAAATTTTGCAAATCTCTCATAGATCTCGGAATATTATTTTGAGAATTTTCTCTGCCATTATTGGCGTTTGTCAACCTTAGACGTTCTCTCTCCCTTTCCCTTTCAAGTTTACGCTCTTCGGCTTCTTCGAGTCTATGTTGTTCGATTCGCGCTTCGATAATCGACTCTAGTGTTGCCTCGACGAATTTTTCGTCATACTGAGGGCTCTGTACAATGAGGCTTTTAAGATCTTGTATTTTTGCATTTGGGGGAACTTCTAGACCTAATTCTACAGACAGATTTATGAGGTCTTGCTTTCGACCCTTGCCAAGATATGACATTTTGCCAGTGACAAAATTTTAAAATGATACAATAAAATAAAACTAAAGGTACCAGTTTGTCTACTCTGAAAGTTTCACACTATCCAGAAATACTACAGTAAAACAACATAGCAATGCAATTTATGGTATGTATGACATAAAATACGTACCATTAGCAACATAGGAAAAAAAATTAAAGTAAATTAAGCATTTCTTAAATAATCTGTTGCAGCTTAACACATAACCATACTTAATGCAGTATATAAAAAAATTTGCTAAATACTTATTGGCAAAAGAATATTAGTCACAAAGAGCAATACTTATTGACTCAATTTACAACTGATGCGTGCTTTCTAAAGGTTGAAAATACTATTATAAAATTCTCTACTCATCAAAAACAAAACATTTACGAGTAACCATTTAAACATATAATTTCGATACACAAAAGACAAACTCCATTAAAATGCCTCTTTAAAAAGATAATGCCATATCAACTTACCCATTGCAGACAAAAAAAAAAAAAATAACAGCTCTTCTTTCCTTTCTTTTCTATTTGCACACGCGATTCAATGACCGAAGAAGGAAACCAATTGAACAATAGTCGACTGGGCGATTCTTCTTTCACTAAACACCAAAAGCACTTTCACTGCACAGAGGGTGGTAACACCAAAACGCGAATTCACAACACTTCACTCTTGTCTGGACTTCTTATGTCTTGTCTTTACACCCGAGGGAGAATTTTACTTCACACTCTTTTCCAGGCACTTCCGGAACTAGTCTTTGGAGTAGTTGATTCTTCACGAACGCTTCTCATCGATGATCCCTTTTCAGCTGCTGGTTAAACTCTCCAAACTTTACTGCGAAAGAATTCTTTTCCACTGCTAGAATCGGCTGATTCTGAATGAAGATAAGAACCGGGACGGTTCTCCAAAACGATCACGTCTTTGTTTGTCTATTGGGTTTTTACGATCCCACCGCTGCCACCAATTAACACATACCTTCTAGCTGTAGCGATTTGAGAACAGTCAGATTTTTATTTTGGGTAGCGTAAATAAAATATTTTTTTTACTGAAGGATAGGTGTTAAATTACACAAGTTGAATTTTAAGGTAAGTTCAACTGCTTATCATAACAAAGTAGTTTGCTTAGCAAAATAGTCCGTTTACATAGGAAACGATAATCACTTGAGTTCAAACAAA